TATTAAATCAAATATAAATTACTTCGTTATTGAAACTAAATTAAATTATAATAAAAAATTAAATTAAAAAATTACACACATTAGGAATTTTAAATAGTTAATTTGATACTAATATCTATATATTTTTGTCAAATTTTTATGATATCTTCAAACTTATATTTTATTCAAAAATAAAAACATCATCGCTTTCTCAAAATCACATAAGACTATATTATAACATCGACTGAGATAAATAATAAAATAAAATATTAAAATCAAGATGTATCTCGCAGCATTGCGCGAGTACCCTTCTAGTATATATATATATATATATATATAGGTTTTGTTAAAATTTGGAGATTGTTTTTAAACTATTAAGAGAAAATATGACAAAATTTGGAAAGCGAATGAAATGATGTTTAGATTTTAGAGGCATGTTTATCTAGAGTTTGTTTAATATCTAACGTGTCAATTTGTTTCTTCTTTTCTTTTTGCATGAGTCGTCATACATGCATAATTAATAATATTAAAATATTTATAAGTTAAATATTCATTTTTTAATTGAAAAATATCGATAGCTTAATTGTAACAACTCGTTTCAAATGAATAAAAAATTGAGAATTTATTGTTTTTAATAAGACTCAAATTGTGGGCTACTAATACCTTTTAACATGGTTTTAAGTTAAATTCGAAATTATTGAGTCAGTCTGTTGCCTCGGGCTTTGGGTTGTTACAAATGGTATCAAAGACGATCTTTGGTCGTTAGGATGGTGAGGCAAACCTCATCGGCTATGATGAGCCATTGAGAGGGGTGCTTGTAACATATTAATCGAATCCCACATCGCCGATTACAAGAAGGAAAAATAAAAAATGGAAATTATTTGCTCCTTATAAGCTTCAAGTCCTGGACTAGTGATGGCCAAAAACTGGTCCCGGACCTGATGAATTCTTTAACCGGCCGTAACCGATCCTGGTTCCGGTCGAAATACCTATAACCGGTCAAGGCAACCTATAAGCTGTTATGCCAAGCCGGTCCCGATCCCGGTCCCACATCGCCGATTACAAGGAGGAAAAATAGAAAATGAAAATTATTAGCTCTTTATAAGCTTCAAGTCCTGGAGGACATGGACTATCAATAACTTTCACCATAGTTTTAAATTGTAATTGAAGTTATTGAATCAGTCTGTTGTGTTAGACTTTGGGTGTGACATTGATTATGTTTGGTAATTATAAACTAACTTATAAGTTAATTTATTTTTTTAGCTTACTGATAAAGCTTTTTTTAGACAGCGTTAGCTTATTAAAACGTTACTAAAAAAAACTATAACAACTAACATTTAAATCAACAACTGAATAATATTTTTAGCAAATTTGTCATAATATTACCATACTAC